CAACTTATTGATCGACATTCAGCACTACAAACGTCGCATAAGGAAGATTCCGACCGCATTCCATTCACTCTCACGTTTCACCCTCACAACCACTCAGTTAAATCCATCATTCTTAAAAACTTTAAATTACTTCAAAACGATCCAGAGACAAGCACTATCTTTTCGCAGCCTCCGCTCATTTCATTCAAACGCGACAAAAACATAGGCAATTTTTTGGTCAGAAGTTCTTTTCAGACTAATGACCAACCAGGCACTTTTAAATGCGCTCGTGCACGATGCAAAACGTGTCCTTTCATTCACAACACTGATAAAATATCGGGACCTAAACGATCCATTAAGATCACCGATCACTTCACGTGCACCTCCGCCAATGTAATCTATTGCATAACTTGCACTTATTGCAAAAAGATATACATCGGCGAAACAGGCAGAAGACTAGGTGACCGATTCCGAGAACACCTTCGAGACGTGGAAAGGAATGACAAGGACACATCGAAACCAGTCGCTAGACATTTTAATTTACCTAATCATTCTAAGCAACATATGGCAATCTGCGGTCTTTCCTTACACTTAGGTAGCACGGAAAGCCGTAAAAATCTTGAACAAAAGCTCATCTTTCAAACCGGCAGTCTAAATCCCACAGGGATCAACGAACGCTTTTCATTCCACTAATTTATTCTTGTTTTTCTCGTTGCCATGTTCCCACCAATAACGTAGCTCCATTTTCTGCCTTTAAAAGCACACACAACCCACAATTCCTCCATTCGCTCCGACGAAGGGCTAACGCTCGAAACGTCAGCTTTTGTAATCGTTACGGTGGCCAATTTGCCATTTCAACTTTGTTGATATATCCAAATTATTTCGTTACCCCCACCGACGCAGCCCCAAACAGTTTCTTTCGAAACTATCAGCCTTTATTCAACGTTACCAATTGATTGTCACGGTTGGCCCGAACGTCATTGGGTTTCCTAGAAATGTTACTTCCGTCATTAGCGAGAAATGATGGAAGTAAAAGCATTCGAGGAATCCTGAGCAAAGCAATCCTAGTTCGGAAGCACATTTAAGAAAATGGAATTACCCATGACTTTATGAGAGCAACAAATTTCCAACATTTTGCCATATGAATACGGAGCTTACGATAGATTTGACAACCTGGATGAAATGGCCGGGGCATTCTTGTAACTGATTACAAAGTTAACCCTTGATTATCACATATAACTGTTTTCTGAGGCACCTTCCTACACCGAAGACAAAAAATAAATTCGAAACACACAGTAACCTGAACTGTATCAAGACGTGAATACTACCAACCTTATGCTTGTTTTTGACTTGGACTTTCCACTTTCTTTCTCCTTGATATCACTGCCTTTAACAATGTGTCGAAGAGGTGATTCAAAGCTGTAGCTGTGGATCGTTATTAAAAGAAAACAGAAAGTCACCTCACTCAACATTGAGACAAATGTATTTGACGTTGCAAGGCAGTTAGATGTCACTAGCAGTAACATTTATGGAGCATCCCCGTCTCGAGCATCCTTCGTCTCTGTGTCGAAACGAGTTCGACACAGTCACCTTTGCGTCACGACATTATATGTGCTTTTTCACTTTCACAGGGTGGGAGGGCCAAACTAGAGAAACAAACCTATCAATTGTCTACAAATCATACATATCTTATTTAGTTGCAGCTTCTATTGTGAGACGGTTTAATTTCATTTTCCAGGAAAAGAAAGATACGACGGTCACGCAATGTCACGTTCTTGGATCAATTTGTATCATATTCCTTTACATTGCTTGTGCCTTCTGCTCGAAGGGACACGTCATTGTTAACTACTTGATAACCGAGAGTGAGGTCGTTACGGGAAGATCTCAACCTGAGGCCTTGTCGTATGGACCAAGCGATAGCGTCATTGGGCCGTAGTCAAACATGTCCGGTCTTGGGTGAAAAAAAATGAAAATGCCTTAGAATGCACCATTCAGAATATTTTAATCTTTGCCTCCGCTTTGGACAACATATTTTCGCCTACTGAACTGAAATTTACAAGCCTTTTGAACGTCTAAAACGAAATGAGATAATCAGAAATACTGCCGCTAACAGAAACCGCTCGATTGTTTAATCTGATGTTCTTGGAAAGCTGATTTAAACTTGGTTGTTTAATGGCGAGTAAACCTATCGGTGAGAACTACGGATGGTGTTTTCCAATGAGCGATTTTTTAAAATTTTGCATACGACACGGCAAACTTAGATTGTTCTTCGGTTGTGTCTGTAAGAAACGGCAAATAAAGGTTTAAACGGTTTATCGAAGATCACACTGCGCCAGGACGACCGGACCGAACTACGTGCTCCTTCGAGAAGGCACGAGGTCCACGCACATGCTTGGACAACGACGCATACAAAGCTGATTAATAGGATCACAGTAGGGCGTTATAAAAGGTCACAAAACTTGTCACATCTTCCCTTTTTTCCTAAGAACGTTAAACGAAACAACAACAACAAAAAAAAAAACATCAAGGGGTGACAAATTCTTTGAGCCAATGGGGTGGCTTCAGTTCCCGTTGCGACCGCCTCGGTTTAACGTGAACTTCAGACGGAGGTCAGTTTCCGGGTGGGACAGTAGCTTCGGGCTCAGGGCTTGCTTCTGCTAACTGATCCGGAATAATTAGTTCTGGGACATCTTTGGGTTCTCCTGCGTCGATTAGCTGCCGTCAATTTCTCCTATACACCGTCTGTCCTACTTGTGCCTTGTAGCTCCTTGGGCCAGCTGTAGCCGTGAATGTTCCGGAACTCCATGTTTTCTCACCAGGTAGTTTCATTCGCACTGTTTCTCCCACGCTGATTGGGTCTAAAGGTTTGGCTTGCTTGTTGTAGTGGTGCTGTTGTCTTTGCTTAGTACCTATCAACTTGCGAGTGTCCTCCTCAGTGGGAAAGTTGGGCTGTAACAGTGAGCCTGCTACCGGCAGCAGTGTTTTACAACGGCGACCCATGAGGCGTTGGGCGGGGCTGGTGCCAATTCCTGCCGTGGGTGTGTTACGCCAGTCTAAGAGTGCCTGAAACTCTGATGCTCCAGACGCCTTGCACTTTGTAAACAAATTCTTTACTGTCCGAACTGCATTCTCTGCCTATCCATTGGACTGAGGATAGGCCGGCGAGGATGTCTTGTGCTCGAACATCCAGGCCCTGGAGAAAACTGAAAACTCGGCGGACGAAAACTGTGGACCATTGTCTGTGACCAGAGTGTCTGGAACTCTAAATCTTGCAAATATGGCTTTCAGTTCCTTGATGATAGCTCGAGAAGTAATGCTGCTCAGGCGGGCCACTTCGATAAAGTTACTGTAGTAGTCGCAAACAACTAACAGCACCCTGTTATCGAATTCACAGAGGTCAGCGGCAACCTTTTCCCACGGGCGTGCAACGAACTAGTGTGACTGCATTGGTTCTTTTCCTTGCTCATTGCGATGGGATAGGCAGACATCGCACTTGGAAATATATTCTCTCAGTTCCGTGGCCATACGTGGCCAGTACAGGGTTTCTCTGGCCCGGCGCAGACATCCCTCAACTCCGTGCGTCTTCTCCATGAGTTCCTTTCTCATCTCTACAGGAACAACAATCTGCTGACCTTTGAAGATAAACTCGTCTGGATAGTTAACTCATCGCGCACGTCAAAGTAAGTGCGAACACATTCAGGTGCTTGTGCTCTATTTTCCGGCCATCCGCCTCTGGTCACTTCCCTTACCTTCTGCTGTATTGGGTCATCTGTGGCTGCATTTTTCAGCTGTTCCCAGCAGTCAACGGTCACTGGGAGCCAGCTACGATGGTCAACGTCTTCCAACTCTCTGGAGAACTCGGTGGCGTTCACTTCTGGTAGGTAGGCGCGACTTAAGGTATCTGCCAGAAGCATTTCTCTTCCTTTCTTGTATTTCACTTTCAGGTTGTATTTCTGCAGGTGCAACAACATTCTCTGGAGTCGTTTGGGGGCTGATGCCAGTGATTTCATAAAGATCACCTCCAGGGATTTGTGATTCGTTTCTACATTCACCAGGTCTCGGCCATACACATAGACGTCAAAACAATCGCAAGCAAAGACTATTGCCAGGAGTTCTTTCTCAATTTGCGCATAGCGTGTCTCGGCCGGTGTCAGGGCTCGTGGGGCGTATGCGACAGGCTGCCTATTCTGCATCAGAGCGGCTCCGAGGCCGGACTGGGATGCGTCGCACTGTAGTGTAACTTCATCCTTGAGATTATAGTAACGCAGAACTGGGGTGCGCGTAACCATTTCCTTTAGCTTCGCAAATGCAGTCTGTTGAGGTTCATTCCAAACCCACTGTACGTCATTCTGTGTTAAGTCCCTTAGAGGCTTAGTTGTATCGGAGAGATGTGGACGAAACTTGGCAAGGTACTGAGCCAGTCCCAGAAGACGTTTTACTCCTAGCTTGTCTGTAGGGGGTGGCATCTCAACGATAGCTCGGACTTTGGCGGGATCTATTCCCAGTCCCTGATCAGTAGCCATGTGTCCAATGAAGAGCACTTGTGGCTGTCGCAGCCTGAGCTTCTCTAAGTTTAGGCGAACATTTCTTTCCTTGCATCTTTGGAGGAACAGTGGAAGACTTTTGTCATGATCCTGAGCCGCTTCTTCAAACGTGTCACCGTAACCGACTGTAATAAAATCGTCTGCCACCACCTCAATACCCGTCATGCCTTCAATAAGCTCGTGCATTTTCCGTTGAAACACTTCCGGAGCTGATGAGATTCCGAATGGCATGCGCCTCCAGCGATAACGACCAAAGGGGTCGTAAAGGTCGTCAGGTATGAAGATTCTTCATCAAGGATGACGTGCCAGAACCCATTCTTGACATCCATAATTGTGAAGACCTTTGCTTCATGCAGGCGTGTCGCAATGTCCTCAACTGTCGGAAGCTGATAATTTTCTCCTTGTATTGCACGATTCAGATCTTTGGGGTCAAGACATATGCGCACCTTTCCATTCTTCTTTCGTACTGCGACAATGGAGTTTATCCACCTGGTGGGCGTGGTCACCGGAGCTACGACATCCTGTGCTTCTAAATCATCTACTGCTTCCTTAAGCTTAGGCCTTATTGCCATTGCGATGCGACGCGGAGCATGCTGTACTGGGGGAACCGTTTCATCTAACTTAATCTTGTATTCACCGTCCAGTTGGCCTAGGCTGTCACCAAAAACGTCTGGGAACTTTGACATGAGCTCCTCTTTGGTTAAAGGTGAACGCGGGGCATCCACTGCAAAAACCGAAGCACTTCCAGTCTCAGGCCTGTGGATAAGGTCATTATCTTTGTACTGGATAATACCCATAGCTTAGCACGACTTCATGCCAAGGATAGGACGTAGATTAGCCTTGTAGACTAAACGGCAGTCCAGACGGAATGACCTTTCGTTTCTCCAGACGCGGATGCTGACGCAACCAATGACGTTAACTTTCGAGCCCCCATAGGCGACAAGCGATGCCTCGGTGGGAGTTACCTTTTCAAGTGTTTCGTCTTTGGATGCTTTCTTATAAATATGTAGTGGCATCACGTCACACTGAGCGCCAGTATCCGGCTGAAAGCGAACGAAATTACCAGACTCTAATTTCAATGTGACCAGTTGTGAATCATCAAGTTCCACGGCTGCTACGTCTGTTTGGTACATTTCGCTGGCCTCCTCGTTTTCTAAATTGGCTGCTTTGACCTCCTTGGACTTGCATTTCGCTATGAAGTGATTCCTCTTTCCACACTTCAGGCATTCCTTACCGAGTGCGGGACAGGATTCCAAATTTTCCATATGTTGATATCCACAATTGTCACAATCTCTCCAATTGCGTCCGCGTTGACTTTGCTGTTGCCTTCTCCGCATATTCTTGTTTGGTTTTCTAGCGTTAGAGGTACACTCTTGATTTCCTTTGTTTGTTTCCGACTCGGTGGCGTCTCCGACAACTTTCATTTGCGCTTTCATGCTTTCGGCGGCGCGACAAATCTCGTCTGTTTTGGCTAAGGTAAGGGCAGCCTCGCGCAGTAATCTCTCTCGGACTTTTGTGTCGCGTATGCCAAAAATCAAACGGTCTCTGAGTATTTCGTCCGGAGTTGTGGTATTGAATTCACATCCCGCGGCGAGTTTACCAAGTGCGGTCTTGTACTGGTCCTATGTTTCTCCTGCTTCTTGTGATCGGCGGTTGAATCCGTTACGCTCAAACGGGACATGTTTTCGTGGTTGGCAATATTCGGCAAACTTCGTCAAAACCGGGGCAATCTTGTTCCCGTCGCCCTCCTCGGTCCAATCTGTAAATGTGGAATAAACATCGCGAGCCTCTTCTCCTATGACTGTGAGGAGAGTAGTAACTTGGACTGGTTCAGCTTTCTTGTTAAGTTCCGTAGCCAGCGAATAGTTTGTCTATGCTAAATGAAATTTCTTCCACTTCTCCGCAGCGTTTTGATCGTGAAGTTCTAGGGGTGCCGGCGGCGGTAAACTACATCCTGATGCCATACTAGAAAATATATCCTCTCTGACACTTCCAAGCCCTCCTGGGTTCTAATAACTATCCTGGTGTTCCATTTACCACTGAGTCTCGCTATCAATCTCCCTATCCACTTAGGAAAGCGATGTAAGCTAAACATTTCTCTCAGCCATCTATGGTCTACCGAGTCGTAGACTTTCCAGACATCGATCCACGCCATGCTTACATTTCGTCGCCCACGCTGACTATCAAGACACAACATGCGGTCAATAAATAAATTGTCTATTGTCCCACTACAATTCTGTTTTGCCCCACGCTTTTCTCTCTCCATCAAATCGTTATCTACCAAATGGCTGTATATAGGCTTCAATACACGTGACTTGAAACACTTATAGATAGTGTTAAGGCATGTAATAGCCCTCTGATTGGCGCTCGTAAACTCGCCTTGTTTTGGTAACAGCGAAGACTTTCCCTCAGCGAACCATAACGGAATCTCTTGGTCTCCCTGTGCTATAGCCTGAAATGCTCTCGCTATCCCGTCCTGGACAACATTCACTCTCTTCTACCAATAGTTCGCAATGTGGAAGGAAAGTTGTAAAGAGTGTTGAGAGATGTTAAAGAGGCCATTGAAGATTTCGGGCTACATTGGAATGAGAAGAAATGGGCTGTTGCACACGTGAAATGCGGAGCACTCCAAGAGTCCACTGGAATGTTGGTGGGAGAGCACGAGCTGGTGAAGAGTTTAGAGGAAGACTCCCAGTACAAATTGCTTGGTGTACTGGAAAACGCTAAGCAAGAAGATACTCTAGTCCTTGAAAATGCAGCAAGGACGTATCTCCGGAGACACTCTGTGATATGGTCTAGCCCTCTTTTAGATCATTTTAAGGTAGTTGCGACCAATCAACTCGCTCTACCAGTACTCACATACTTTATGTGGACGCAATTTTGGCCTATTGCAGAGCTACAGCGAATCGATAGAGATACGCGGAAGGTTATTACAGAGAATGGAGGAAAGCACCCACTAGCGTCAACTGATCTGCTATACCTCTCAAGACAAGCCGGTGGGCGTGGATTGAAGTCGGTCGGGACAGAGTATAAAGCTACGAAAATAAAGGCAGCGGTGAGGCTTTACCAAAACAAAGATCCAACTATCGGTCTTGTAAGGCAGTTCGAGGAGAAGCGGAGAAGAAGGGTAGGCGTTCCTTGGTCAGAGATGCACAAATGTATGCAGAGGAGCTGGGCATGAAATTTTATTTACAGCACCCGCTAACATCAGGGTCAACGGATGAAGGTGAGAGTATAGAGGGGAGGAAGATTGGACCGTGGGTCAATGAAGTTGTGCTTAACAAGCGCTGTGAGAACATTTGACAACATAGATGGCAGGGGAAGTTAGTGACGGCGAGATGGGAAGATGAAGATCTAGATAAAGAATGCTTCTCCTGGTTGTGGGAGTGGAAGATGGCGCCGACGCACTCAATAGCAGGGATCAAAGTGTTATATGAGCAGCTATTACCAACCAAGCTGTACCCCTCCAGGAAGACCAAGACTCGGGAGGACCTAGATACCACGTGTAGATTGTGCGGGGCAGCTCAAGAGTCCGTGGCGCATGTGCTTGCGAGTTGTAGTGTACTTGCCCAGACAAAGTACCTTACGGGGCACAATGCACTTAAGATAATTTTCTTTGAGTCGCTTAAGGACTACCTTCTTATAGAAACGACCCCTCCTTGGTACTCCCCAATACAACCAAAACCAGTGTACGAGAACAACCAAGTTACAGCTTACTGAGATGTCCCTGTATACGCGTATAATACAGAAGTAAGAGCTAACAGAGTAGATGCAAGGTTTGTAGACAAAGGAAGCAAGATCGTCACTTTACTAGAAATGAGCTGCCCTTGGACAGAAAACCGTCACCAGAAAGACCAGGAAAAGACACAAAAGTACGCTGCTCTACGCTGGTAGCTCAAACAGCAAAACTCTGGATTCGAGATACGTCAAGTCAACTTAATTGTAGATATCTTAGGGGCATACGCTAAGAATATTGGAAGGAGTGTTAGAGAATTGTTAGGTGCAAAGAGAGGGAGAGAAGTCCTTCGTCAGCTGCAGAAAGCTGTCGTCAGCGCCAGTCTGAACATCGCCAGAACCTTTAAGGTTCTTAGTTGGCTTAGAACTCTCGCACATGCCCGCCAGCAAGCTACTTAAGGACTCATATAGGTTTTTATGATGCATTATTTATTTAGATAGTAATAATAGTCGTTGCATTGATTGGCCACGGCTTGCCGCCCAGTCATTGTATTGGATATCTGGGCATCCAAACGTTTATACTGCCGATAATAATAGTAATAATAATAATAATAATAATAATATAATAATAATAATAATAACATATGATAATAATAACAACAAATATCTTTAGCCAGGAGGCAACCTCACCCTCAGGTGGTTTTCAGGCTGGTCCTGAGTAGAAATGATAATATGTAGAAGCTAAAAAAGTTGTTAAATCTAAGAAAAGTTAAAAATACATTTACAATAGAATCTTAAGATAAAATGTAAAATTTAATAACATAATTAGGGTACATAGTTTATATAAGCTTCATAAATAATTCAAGGCTATTTGTACTTCGTGTAGACATTGGAAGACTGTTCCATTCGTGTAGCGTTTGATAAGTCAGTCTACGTTGCCCCCACAGCTGGCACCGAGATTAGGGTAAAAGAACGCTTTCTTTGTGCCTGGCGTTATAATGGTGTATTTCCCTTGAGTGTGTAAAATTAAAATTCCAGTTAATCAGCCCATGTATGCATTTAAATACAAAAGAAAGACGGTGTTACCGTCGCCTTTCTGATAAAACTAGCCAATCAAGCTCATTAATTGCCTCTGTTGCGGAAGAGTATTTAGCTTTGTCAAGGATCAATTTAGCGGCTTTGCCTTGCAATAACTGGACTTTAGCCATTAGAGTTTTGTTGTAATTGTCTCCCCACACAATGTCACCATAATCCAAGAGAGGCAAGATCATTGATTTAATGAAAACATATCCTAGACCACAGGCCTCATCAAACACTCTGATGATTACGAGTGTTGTGGCGTTCAGACAAATTCCTTTATTCAGTTAATTAGAAATGCAATTTGTATGGGAAATAAAGTGATTAACTTCTTGAATGAATGAATTGCATGAAGGAATGGTAAAAAGGGTGACGATATCTACCAAAATAATGATAATGATAATAGTAATGATAATAACAATAACTAGTAAGTAATAACAGAAGTATATAACTTGGGTTATATGCTTCTGCTGATAATGATTTGACAGTAATATTATAGTGGTAAATCATTAATGTATTGAAGAACACTTTTCGAGTGATAGCTGGATATTAGTCCTAGTCTGATTTGTTGAAATAATTGGACACTTGCTTTGATGTTCTTGGCTGCAGACCTTATGAAGAACTCGTGATTCTTATTACGCTAATAGAGTTTATCGTCTCTATCACTGGTGTGCCAGGGCCAAGGAAACATAAACAAAGGGTTCCAGTGGATAATGGTATTCCAATTTTTTAATTCCACTGGTCAGCTTACGAACGTTAACATTTTATGACGGAAGTAAAAATTGATCCATGAGGCGAAGGAGTGACTAACGCAAAGATTGCCGGGGTCATATTAAGAACACAATAGCGTGCTGTAAAGAAAACGTTCCCAAAAGAGAAACAACAAGGATCTGAGCTTCTAAAGACCCTTAAGTTTCTAATGGTGTCACCGTTTTTTACAACAAGTGAAAAGATTGCCTAAATTATGCTCCCTCAAAAATTGTTCCTTGGATTTTAAAAACGTTTGATGTCAGAATGATAATTCAAGCACTTTCACTATAATCTC